GGTCGGGGCGGGGGCGGCGCGGCGGCGCTCGGTCCCGCGGCTCCTCCTGCCGCCGCCTCCGCCGCGGCTCGGCCGCGCTGCGCCGCCCGGGGCTCGGCGTGTGCCCGCGGAGCACAGCGGTGCCCCGGGACCCCGTCCCCACCTGACCCCTCCATACCGGGCGAGCCCCCCCCGCGCGCCGCCAGGCCTGCGGCCCGGCCCGGCCCCGGAGTGCGGGCCGGAGGCTCCGCGCCCCCGCCGCGGGCTCGGACTCGGGTGTGCGCGGCGAGGAGCGGTTTTTAGGGTGCGGGGACTCCGCTCTGGGGTGGACGCGGGCCGCGGGTCGCCCCGGCGCGGGGCGCGGCTGCCGGCGGGAATTGCCGGGGACAACAAGGACAGCGGAAGGCAGCGGGGTGCCGTGCCGGGCCCCGGGTCCCCACGGAGAACACGGACGTCGCTCCGCGGGGGCCACTGGCACTCACGTAACAGCAGAACCGGGGCGGGGGGGTGGTGGTTCGCATTTTGGGGATTATGGAAAATTTGAAGTAATTTGGCGTTGAAACCTAAGGCCTGTCTAAAGTTGTTTTCTCATCCTTGTCATGAAAGCTAATAAGGATTTTTTTTTAATTTTTTTTTTAAGGAAGAGTTGTTGATCCATGAAAGACGCACCCTAAAGTTTTCGAGGCATTAGAAATTAAGTGGGTAATCCCATGGATAGGAGGTACCTTCAAATTGGTTGCATAATTGTGGAGCCAGGCCTCAAGGAGGTTTCTTCAAGAGGCGTTTTTAACGTTTAAGGAAACTGGAAGGAAATTGGCTGTTGGCCTTATCAAATGATGCAAATGTGACTTATCTGGCTGAGAAGAGCGAATGTCAATTAGCCTCTGGTTCAGCTTTGACTCCACTTTAATTTTATGCACTAGTCTTTTCTATCTTAACACACAGGCATAAAATATAAATTGGGCGGTGCTTGGAGTTTATTTCAGTACAGCATTTGATAAACATGCGTCCTGCAAACTAACCGTGTGTAGTGGGTTGACCCTGGCTGGATGCCAGGCACCCACCAAAGCTGATCTGTCATTTGCCTTCTCAGCTGGACAGGGAAGAGAAAATACAACAAAGGTTCACGAGTTGAGATAAGGACTAGGGGAGATCACTCAAGAAATACCTAAGGGCAAACAGACTCAAATTTGGGATATTAATTTATTACCAACAAAATAAGAGCAGGATAATGAGAAGTAAAATAAATCTTAAAATACACATTCCCCCCACCTCTTCTTCCCAAGCTCTACCTCCTTTTCCCCAGCAGGGAAGGGAGATGGGAATGGGGCTTGTGATCAGTTCATCACACATTTTTCCTCCCACTGCTCAGGATGAGGAGTCCTTCCCCTTCTCCAGCATAGAGTCCTTCCTGCAGGAGACAGTGCTGGATTAACATCTCCAGCATGAGTTCATCCCACAGGCAACAGTTCTGCACAAAATGCTGCAAGGTGGGTTACACTGCACATGGGGTGCAGTCCTTCAGGCACAGCCTGCTTCAGTGTGGGTTCCCCAGAGCATCACAAGTCCTACCAGGGCGCCTGCTCCAGCGTGGGCTCCTCATGCCATGGGTCTGCAGGTCCCTGCCAGGAGCCTGTTCCAGCACAGGCCTCCCATGGACTCACAGCCTCCTCTGAGGCATCCGCCTGCTCCAGCTGGGGTGTCCTCCACAGGCTGCAGGGGAACCTTGGCTTTGGTGCCTGGAGCACCTCCTGCCCCTCCTTCTCCACTGACCTTGGTGTCAGAGTTGTTCTTCTCACACATTCTCACCCTGCTTTTCTCTGCCTGCAATTACACCTGCACAGAAATTTTTTTTTTTTCCCTTCTCAAATAAATTATCTCAGAGGTGTTCCCACCATTCCCGATGGGCTCAGCCTTGGCCAGCAGTGGGTCCATCCTGGAGTTGCCATTGGCTCTGCTGGACATGGAGGAAGCTTCCAACAGCTTCTCACAGAAGCCACTCCTGTAGCACCCCTGCTACCAAGACCTACCTGCATAAGCCTAACAGACGATGATCCTGAGAACAGAATGGGAGCAATAATACTTCAAAAATTTATTTTATTTATTTCCATTAAGGTAATGGTAAAACTTTTGTAGACTCAGCCCAGACCTGGGTTTCAGGAAGGGGTCCTAAAATACTGACCTTCACAAGGTTTTCTGAGCTTGACCATACATGTGATATTAATGTAAAATAGTCTTTAGTAAATATTTTTGCCAGGATGGAGGAGGCTAAGGGAAAGAACAGAGAAAGGTGATGGTTAGTTCATAATCAACAGCAACGTAACTCTAGTATAAATAAGTAAAAAATTGGAAAAATTATTTCCTTATCCTTATTTTTGAATTTAAGACTGTGAATTTCTTTGAAACAGTTTGGAACATGTTTCCCGTAGAGATTGTGAAGCCTCTGGATTTGGAGATACTAAAAACCCAGCTGGACACAGCCTTAAGCAACCTGCTCTAGGTCGCCCTGCTCTGAGCAGGAGAACTGGGGAAGACAATCTGCAGAAACACCTTCCAGCTTGAACGATTCTATGATTTCTAAGCCAGTTTTCCAACAAATGTGAAGTGCATAGAAAATCTCAGTGAACAGCACAATATGCTCTAAGGTCTTTGGTTCCAAGGACGTTTTATTCCATTTTTTGTTCACAAAGGAAATGGAAATCCAGTGCAGGGCACATTGCCCTCAAAGATTCAGCATAGCCAGTTGTCACGTTATTGCAGAAAACTATAATGCCATTAAAAGGCAAATGGCTGGATGTTTTTCAGTCTTCTTTGCAAACTTATTTGCTAACTTCTTGACTGGCTGGCCATTCATCCTGCCTGTATATAACTGTTTCACGTTTACCCCCTTGTTCTTCACCACTCAGGAGCAAGATACCAGCATATTTTGAATATTTTGTGTAATTTTTGTCTTGATGGAGCCATTACCTCAATGTTTTCCCAACCACTCTGGTTTCCAATAGGCCACAGACACCCTGGTGTGATCAGAAACAGGGTAACTCCCATGGGTGCAGCTGCCAGGAAGGAAGCCGTGTTTGCAGCTGATACTCACAGCCCTTTCTGCTCCCACAGCCAACAGAGGTATCCAAGAGCAGAACACACTTGGAAACTGCAGATACCATAGGTGTGCTGGCACCGCTTTGGAACAACATAAGTTAACTTACCTGCAGAAATGTTTTTGTAACTTGCACTTTCTGGAATTCAGTAAGCAAAGGGTAAAACTACATTGTAAGCAATAGGATTTCTGACCTTCACTGGTGGTTAGGTTGTGTCAGATTTGGTATATAAGAGAGAGAATACAGCTTGTATATAAAAGTTTATAGCTCCTTTGTTCTCATTGAATAGAGCTCTTGCAGTCCAACTCTAATTTTACTTGTGATCTACTGTTCCTTTGTATTTTTCCCTAGATTTTGGTGTCACTCAGAAGTAGGTACTGTGCTATATCTTTTTCCTCACAAAAGCAAATGAAGTCTGGCTTTTGCTCAGTGTCCTCTTAAAGTCATACTTGAATGTAGCAGTCGTTGAGTTAGTTCTGGAGATACCTGCTGCTAATTTCATACTTGGACATTTATTTATCACAATGACTATTACAATGTTATGATCAGGTTCCAGCTTGGTAATCTTAAAAGGAGTTACTTTGTCGAGTCATGAAAAAATGGGTTACAGCTCCAAGTAAGTATGGCTGATGTTTTTATCCATCTTACTGATAATTTGCTTGTCAATAAATTATAAAAATTTGTAATGAGCCATTTTCAGTCACAGTTCCTTCCTTTTTATCTTGTGTGTTAATTAGATCCTTTTCCAGGTACTGGCAACATACTTAGCAAACACCATTGTGCTGAATAACACTCCCAGATTTCTCAAGCTGTAGCTACTCTATTGCCAAGCCCCAGGTTATAGGAGAGGAACTTGAGTTTTGTCAGCTTTCTGGTGACTGGTTTGAAGGTCTTTCAGTAGGCATGTGTTTGCTTCTTCATCTGCGAAATAGATGAGTTATTTTACCATGCAGTTACCTGTTCATGTTTTAGTAACCATTTTTTGACCTTGACAAACCCCTCAGCTGGTGATGAGGGTTCATTGTGAGCTGGCTACGTCACTGTACAGTGAACATGAGCCTGCTGAAGTTATCTTTTACTGTTTTTCCTACGCAACCACAGAGATGGAGGTTGGGGAGGAAAGAAAGTGAAGGGGGATTGTTCTAAATTTCTCCCAGAATAGTTCTGTGTTAATATATTCTCAAGGAAATTCTGGAATAATTTTTCTGTCTTGTAGCTTCTATTTAAAACTTTTCTATAAAAAGGAAATACTGCAATTTTACCCAAGGATCTAATGTTCCATAATGTTCTCTTTTGATTGTTAGTAATGTTGCAAATGCAGCAATATTTACCTGCAGTCATTGGACTAAAAAGGAAGGAGTAAGGTTACCAAGATTGCTCCTAGCAGTGGTATAAAGGTCTACTTCATGACTGTAGTAGCTGCTGACTTTCACACATAGTGTGTTCAGGACAGTTACACTTAAAAGGAATCCTTGTAAAAATATGTCCCAAAATGAAGGAAGTATGAGGGATAAGCAGTCTTCCTATTGATAGTTTAATCTGCAGGTCCAAATAATCCTGGAGACCTAAAATTGAGTGCAACAAAGGAGAAGCTGTCAGCCCAAAGGTCTGTAAGACCTCATAAGGTGTTTCTGGTCACTAATCAGTAGGAAATGTCTAGTGAGAAGTAGAAGTACAGGGAAATGTATAGTTATGTGCTTTAAAATGCACTCCTGCCTGCCTTTGTCAGCAGAGGAGGTAGCTGGTTCATTTATAACAATAAATCTCAAAAGGCTTGAGCCACTTCAGGAAGGGTGATATCAGCCAGTGCCCATTTGTCTGAGTTGGGTAGTAAGCTGGTTGTCGTATTAAAGTCAGTTCTTTTAAAATAATGGAGAAGAAAATACGAGATTTCTTTCATAAGGAATAAAAGGGTAGAAATGTAACCAGTACCAGTAAGTGTGGCTTAGGGAAAAATGATCTTGGCAGACACACCAAACTTCATCACTCGAGTAGGTGAGAAGCTTCAGCACAACAAAACAGTGTAGATGGAGCAGACTTGGGTAAGGTGCTTCATACTACGCATACTCTCCCTTACTTTCAATATCATGCATTATATGGCTTAAAAGCTTATAGACTGAGAGTTGTAAAGAAATACATAACACTGCAGAAATAACCTAACAATTGGATTGTTCAAAGAGGTGGAAGCTGAGTTATGGCCCAACATTTCCATCGTGGTCTAGAAGTCATCATAGAGTCATTCCTGTTTTTATTTGTGACTGTGATGAAGTTGCTGGAATAAGTACCCTTAGTTATGGCCCAACACTTCCATCATGGTCTAGAAGTCATCATAGAGTCATTTTTGGTTTTTTTGTGACTGTGATGAAGTTGCTGGAATAAGTACATAGAGGTGATGAGGAAAAGATGATAATGAAGAAACATCACAGTGACTGGATTACTTTGTAAATTGAACCACTTAAATAAGTTATGTCTCATCTGTCCAAGTGCAGAAGTAAGTGTCTAGGATTGATGAATGCAAATCATGTACCTAGAGGATAATTCTGAATCCTGGAAAGCAGAAAATTTAGAAAATATTAAAGGAGTGCAATCACTTCAAGACACCTCAAAAGAGGCTCATATATATACATGTGGGACAAAAAGGGCTGGTGCTGTTTGGGGATGCTCACAGTGGAGTAGGTAGTAGAAATAAGGTGAGTTTGGATCTGCTGGGTCATGTTTTTTAAATAGACCAAAAACTGGAGAAGCCACAAAGAATTATAAAAGAATTTGGATGCTTAAAAAGTCTTTAGCTGTTTAATACCAAAAAGAACAAAAAAAAGTAGACATGAATCATATAGTACTTTCCCAGTTATAGGAATTCACTTCAGTCTAAAGAGAGACATGGATAGCTGGAGTTTAAACAAGATAGAAAAAAAAAAAGACTTGGCTTCCTAAGTGATAAATGGTGCTGATCAGCCACAAGCAAAACAATGGATGGGATGGGTCTTCCTCCCCTCAATGCCTTCACCTCCAGATTGGATGGCACTTCCTGGCATTTCTGCCAGGTCCTTTGGTTCACAAAGGAGTGACTGAAATTTAATGGCTTATGCCATAAAGAAGTTGATATTAGGCCATCTTTTACAATCCTCCCCTGCCCTGTCACAAGTGGAAGCAGGTAGAGGTATCTAGAAGAATATAGTTTCTTGGAGTCCTGTTTTTTAGTAGACTGATGTTTTCTAAGAATATTTTCAAATAATTTTTTTGCTCTGTAAAGACATGTCCAGGCGTAGTTACTCTTAATTAGACAATAGATTTTCTTGTCCATTTTGTAGTCTTTGTAGCGCTGTTTAGAATTTCTCAAGAATTGTCCAGACATTAATTTGTGTTTGTAAGTTAAATTAATGTAATTATCCAATACAAACCTGTGAAGACAGTGAATTTTGTGGAGTGTACATGCTGAGGTGCTTGCTCTCAGACAGCAATGCCTGTTTCTCCCCTCTCTTTTTCATTTTCAGACATTACACAATTGATATTGCAAATATTGCCAAGCCTTTAAATAGGCTGACTGACACCCTATCCCTGGTTGGTTTTGCTGCTGGTTTGGGAAGGGATCTTTCTATGTCCACCACAAGCACATATTGCCATCACTGATCCTTCATTACCTCTTAGCAATATTTGTTCCTTCACAAAAAATGTCCCAGGCTAGATGGTCTCAAGAGTTTCCATGCAGGACCAGTGAAGAATGGGCTGTGACCCACAGAAGGAAATGTGACAGGAATTATTGAATCACAGTCTTTGGGCCTAAAATGGCTCTGAAAAGAAGGTTCCTTAACTCCTCTAACCTGGAGTAAAAATCATGGTGAGAAAAGAGTTGCTGGAACCTCCCAAAGCAGCTCTGGTTGTTGTCTGCTGTGACAGAGGCATGTGGCCGTGCACAAAATCTCAGTGGATGAAGCAGAGCCCCTTGAAATTCCAAAAGTGAAGACAGGCCAAGTTATCTGGAATTCACAGGGTGCTTTATCCATGGTATGAAGTGTTGCACCATGTTATGGCCAAGGAACCAACATGATAGAATTAAGCAAAATCACAGCATAGGACAGACACAGACCAAAAGAACATGAGGTGCTCCAAGCTGTGAAGTGATGTTATGAGGAGTCAGGGCTTGGCATTCATGCTGGACAGGGGAATGAGAGGCCTACATGGTTAATGTTTCTGGTAGGCAATCCCAAGACTATAAAACTGCCCAGGTCTCAATCAGGGTATGTGATCCATAGGCACCAAGTGACAAATGCTTAATAACCTTGCATTCCTCTCCAAAGGTAGGCACGGTTCACAGAATCACAGAATGCTTTGGGTTGGAAGAGCTGTTAAAGATCATCTAGCTGCAACGCCCTGCCACGGGCAGGGAACCCTTCACTACACCAGGTTGTTTGTCATTATTGGTGGCAAGCTGCTCACAAGTAGAGGCTTCTCTGTCCTCCAGCCTTCTCTGTTAGTTATCTGCCTCATTGAAGGCACACAACTCCAGGACAGTCACCTGCCATGTCCCCTGGCTTCAGCAGCTGCCAGTCCTGGGTTTGCTGCAAGACCTGCTCCCAGCAGGCAGTATCCTCACCGTGGAGCTTGAGTACAAGACTGCTGCAGCTTGGTGTGCTCCCATCACCATCCCCTGGGAGCCTGTGAAAGGGCTTTGACCCATCCATCTGCACTTTGCCAATTACTGCTGGTGTTCAGGGTGCTCCCTGAGAGAGCTGAAGAAATAACTAGCTTGGTGTTGGCAGGAAGCTTCACATAGTTTCTGGGAAGCAAGGCTTGGAAAGGGGCCCAGGCTGTCACAGCACCTGTGTTTTGGGTAGCATCTGGCCTGATGTCTGTCTGAACAAATGGCTGGCCACTGAGACAGGCGTGTTACAGCCAACACTACACATGCAGACAAAGCCACCAACTGGCTTCGGCCCGTGATGCTTGGGGACAAAAGTGCCATATGCACTTGTCTCCAATTCTAGGGTGAATTTAGATGACCAGAGCTGGGATGTGCACTGAACTGCCCGTGCACACAGGCAGCCACAATGCCTGGGAGCCAAAGGCTTGAGGGCAAAGAAAGATGAATGCAGCTGTAAGATACTTTCTTTGATGAAAAAACTAGTTGCAATGAATGAAGTAATGAAACAAAGACTGACCTTTACAATTGTGTGTTAGTACACAAAATCCTTTTGAAGAAATTGACATTAAAAATGCTCATTAAATAAAGAAAAATAACTTTCAAAGAAGGTTTTCATGGCATTATAAGACATAATTTTACCAAGCCTCAGCAGAGACACTGCTAGGATCTGTGTAACCCTGAAAAATAAGGTATTGGAGGAATATCTGTGAAACAAGTATGGCAGTGTTCATTTGGAGAAATTTCTTCATGATAAGGGTGGAATATTGGATAGCAAAGGAGTGGGAAATGTACAAACTGAACAGTGAAACATGATCAGATAATCTTATTTGTTGCTTGGGGTTTGAAAACTGTATTTGAACTTAAACTTTCTAATGTTTCCTACTTATAAAAAAAGAGTATTTAAAAAATGTGTTCACATATACCAGGCTGATGACTGACTGACATGCTTTTTATTCCAATATTAACATGTATCTTAGAGAACCATATCCAGTAAAAAATCCCATGGTGTTGGGACCCAGAAGAGGAATGCATGGCTCTTGTGTTTGGTCTGTCTGTGCTGTGCTACACGGGGTAGTTGCAGAGAAAGCTCAGAAAAGGGTCCAGATATTCAGTCTATGTCTTTTCTCCTACAGTTATACAAGGTCAGTAGGTTGGAACTGACCTAATAGGTTTAAATAGTGAAAATGTTGTAAGGCCAGTATCTCTACAGCTGCCTATATCTCAGATAACCTCTCTACTTAAAAACACCAGCAATGTGCAGTGTAGTGTCACTTTGAAGCTGACATTTTGCATTGTACAGGTTTTCAGTTGCTCGTAAAACTTTGCCAGCTTTCACAAGTCTGAAATTTTCCCTAAGGGGTGTTGGCCTCAAACTGAATTTTTTTTGTGAAGACTCCAGACACAGTTTTTTCAGCTGCCTCAGATCAAAATGCAGATTATTTGCCCTTGCATAGAAAAGAAAAAGAAGAAAGAGAAAAAAGAAAAGAAGGAAAGAAAAAGAAGAAAGAGAAAAAAGGAAGGATAAGAAAAAAGGAAAGAGGAAAGATAAAAACAGAAAGGAAGAAAAGGGGAGAAAAAGAAGGAGAAAACTAAATAAAAGGAAAGAAAAGATAAAAAAAGAAAAGGAAAAAAGTAAGAGAAGAGGTTTTTTAAATTGAAAAACTATATTAAAAAAACTTGAAAAGAGATCTTCCATTTAAACAACAGGGTGGTCCTTGTGTTGAGCAGAAGTGCCTTGTAGCCTGTGGAGAATTGGTAAGTTATTTGTCTGCATTAAAATCTCTAACATGTCTTGGTTTACAAATATTCAGTAGGCTTCTTAATCCTTAGTTGTACTTAGTTGTTAAAGGAAGGCTTTCACAGGCAATTTTATTTCTAGTCATCCTGATTAAGTGTTGTGCAAGCTTGAAGGTATTTTTAATTAGGTAGGACGGTTAATTATTTATTTTACAATTTCAAATAATAGCTCTTAGTTTGAACTCTCATTGGTTGTGGGGGCAGGGAGAGGGGCAGACATTAAAAAATCCATTATTTCCTCCATAATTCTGTAAACTCACATTTCATTTACCTTGTTTGCCCATGAATCAAAGATACAGCCTAGAGTTGTTGGTGAGTACATGTAACAAAGGTAAAAAGGACTGGTAAATGTTCAACCTGACACAGTGTTAGAAGTCAGCACTGTTGGATTTTGAAAAACAAAGGGTAGAGAAGTGCTAAGAGTTCCTTTCCTCAGCTGATGGAGTTGTAGATGGCCCTGAGGATTATCTGCTTCACTGACTATATAAGCATTGTGTTTTGAAATAGAAGCAGCCCCTCCCTGTTTCTCTAGTAAATCGTTTAACAAGAGAGCAGGACATTACAAACCAAACCATTACAGTGAGGGACCAACCTTCTTTTTGGGGAGGTTTCAATGGGACAACACTGATTTTCAGTGTTTGTCAGTTCAAAGCTGTGTTATTTGGTCTCTTTCCAGCAAAACTATTCTGTAGCTACATTAACTGTACTTGCCTTGAATGGATGGGAGCTGGTGATCAGCTTCCACCTGGAGCAGCTTTCACCAGTCCATAAAGCAGCCAGGTT